TCCAGGATACATTTACATCTTCACGGAAGTTCACAAGTACATGTATCTTCACTCTTTGATTTGTTCCCAACTTTCAAGTTGTAGAAAAGAAAGATTTCAACTACATAGTTGAGCATGCCATAACGAGACACGACAGGGAAAAAAAAAAGAGCATTGATTTTCTGTCGGGGTGAAAAATGGTACAGTGTGTGTCCAGAGCAAGCAAAGAAACAGAAAATAATCACCCAGGTTGGTTGGTCTGACATTTCCACTATTGCACCTAAAAAGCTTGCTTACGAATGAAAAAAAAAAAGAGAAAAAAAGAAAGAAAAAAAAAACAGTTGAGTCCGTTGTTCAATTTTCGGCCACATTCATTCATCAACTGTCAAGTGCTAATGAGACAGTCCTGAAAAGTTTACCGACTTGGCAAACATTTGTGCTGTGGCAGAGTTTGTCCAAATCGCATAATGTGCCGGCCAACAAAATTGAGTCAGATTTCATGTTCTTTGGTGAATGTTTTCTAAAGAAACTGGAATGAACTGACAGAAACTTTCGATTCAATGTACTTCTTGATACTGTGAGAAAACAGAACCGTACTTCTTGAGCATCAATGACAATGGGCTGCCAATGTTCATGCCATCTTCTCTAAAACTCTTTATCAAAGACAACTTTTAATTACTGAGTTAATTTCAAATAATATAGGAAACTCATTAACAGAATGTTTGCATTTTGTAAAAAGAAAAAGGCAACACCCCAATAATACCAAAATTTCCAGAACATCTCGGAGGCAAGTACAAAAAATGCTCCTCCTACATTCTTTGCAAATTCACCTTACCAGTACAAGTAACAATCAGATGAAACATTTCAATGCTATGAAATCAAGTTTTCTCTTCAACCGTTTGAACTTGCAAAAATATTTCTCTTCAACAGCTCTTTCCGTAATGACAAACACTATTTTGAAATTACTGAGCAAACAATGTAAGATTCCATTGGTATATTCAGAATGAATCTTTACTCCATTATTTTTTCATTTCAATTTGCTTTCTCTTTAATACATGAACATGTACAAGAGGGTAAAAGAAAAAAACCCAATAAAATAACAAAAACACTGCCCACAAATCAACTCCTGCCCCAGTGCTGACAACCACTGTAAATTGTAGGTAGATTCGCCTAGGCTTTCTGATCTCATCCATCATGGGTGCCCCATCAATTACTTGGGGGACAAAAAAAAGGAAGAAATGGAGAAGGGAAACCTAGTATTCGAAGTTGTCATAAAGAAAACAGCCTTTGGGCCAAGAATGTGACATATAATCAACGAGCGGGGTATCAATGAACAAAATGACAAGTTGGCACTCCTGCTAACTGCTGGGAAAAATTTAATTACAACTAAACAGGGCAAGGTAAATAATTTAGACAATAATTCAAAGGGAGTGCTGAAGTATACCCTGGTGAATATCCTTGTCAAAGGCTTCACCGTTAATGTGAACAATGGGAGGCTCAGGGAACCTATTTTTAATTTCAAATTAAACCTGATTAGGGCTGCCCTCGTTCACAAATCATGTTTGCCTGAAAGTACAAATGCTGACCATTGGTTGCCAATTGTGAAGGAGCATTAGGGTATACTGTCAAACAGAAAATGAACATTGCAAAGTTCTAGTTGGGGGAATAATTGGGGGGGGGATCATGCAGGGGACCAACCAAACTGCAAGGGACCAACCACACTAGACATCACTGCAAATGTGGGCACATGGCCCAAACCACATACAAGATGTTTATCGAAGTTGGAAACCCTCGATTCAACCAAGACGCTACCTGTACTTGTAGATACATGCAGATGATTTGTTAAACTTTCTATCAATTGTTAACAATCAAATTACAGTACATGTACTTCATACTTACATACCAGTGTTTTTTTTACCCATTTTTGAAAATAAATAAGAGATTTGAGAAAAGAAAACTCATCCAATCATTAGCCTGGCTATGACATAACCATTTGACCAAAAAGGTGTTTTCACAGATGACTCCTACAGAAAGAAACATGGGATGGGATCACAAATCATCTCTCCTAAACTGCACAATAGCCATAAGGTTGGGGCAGAGAGAAAGGCCAACAGACTAGAACGACGACACAGGATACAGTCTCTCACGCGGTAATCGTTGTCGTTGCGCCACTCGTCAGCCCTGCTGGGCTCAAGTCCGCGGGGGGAATGTTTGCGAGGGTGGGGGGGGGATGTCGTGAATGACGAATGAAGGGCCTGCCGTGAAGCTTTGACTGACAGCTAGCCTGCACACGTACATTAACCACACCTCTGTAATATCGCTTGCAATGTTTGTTTAGGTTTTGCGGGGGGGGGGAGCGCAGGGGATCAATTAGCAATGGGCAGCGTCAGCCCCGGTCGTCATAACAGCCAACCTCTCAAAATTTGTAGACATGGTCAAAAAGCCAATTGATGGCATTCAACTTTGAACCATGAATTATTCATGGTACTGGAATATGATGTACATGTATCCTGAAGACCATTCAAGCAAAACTTCCCCTTCATAAACAATTCACTAGTGAACTGTTTCCTAATTTTAAAACAACGTGCCTAAATACTTTTTTAATCCAAGCAAATTTTCACTGATGCTCAGGTCCTAGGCAATTAAAAATCCATGTGTGTCTTTGTTGCAGTTACAAGAAGCTTTATCCACTATCCGCTGAATGACTTTTGCGGTCGGCTAATCAGTTGTCTGAGATACATTTTTATCTGATCAAATTTTACATTCAGATGTATGTAAGTTCAAATGCACAGATGTCTTTCCATCCAATTAAATTTACACACAGATAAGTTCAAATGCTTAAGATTTTGTTTAACCACAATTGCATGTCCATCTGCAATGTCATTGTGGACCAGCAAAAAACGGGGAATCTCTGAACTTTGGAAGGTATAAACTCTTCACGTGTGAAATTAAATAACTGGCTTCTTCTTTTTTTTCAAGTAAACTCCAAGGATTGATTTGGCTGTCAATCTGCGTTATCTTTCTCTGCTTCCTACTTTGATGAGATTGACCACTGATTAAAGGCCTGACTGACAGCCCTTATCGCAGGCTATCCGGTTGATTTGGGGGCTTTTGGTAGGAGTTTGGACAACCTGAACGTGTCGGGCCAGACAATCAAACTGACCGCACCAGCCCCCGGTTTCAGAGACTGAGAGACTACCAGGGCTGTTGTCCTGGCTGGGGTAGCGTGTGCGAGTGTGCGTGTTACTCGGCCATTTGGGGGGGTGAAGGTTTGGGGCCGGAGGTGTCAAGACAGAAGGGCAGGCTTTTGTCCTGTTTGTGCAAATTGTTGATCGTGGGTCAGAAGTACGAGATAAGGGGGCTCATAAATATATTTAGTTGACACACTGAAGTGGGTAACACTTGTACATCAGGGCTTATTCACCAAAATGACTTCTTTTTACAAAACAAAGAAAAGACAAGAGGAGACACATCTGTGGAAATGTTAGAAAATTAGCAAAAGGGTATGTTTTTAAAAATCAAAAACGGGTACATGTAGAATACACAAATATTTTTGAAAGCTACTGGCCAAAAAACGAGGCCATATATGTACAGTGTAGTCAATGAAATTTTGAAAAGGTGAAACAATACTCTTGCACAAACAAGTATGGAATGGGGTTTAAAATTGGCTTGTAGTATATGAAAAGACTTTGTTGTGTGGTAGTATATGCTTAGCAAAAGTTTGAAGCATTTATTCCAGAACTCTAACCGAGTAAATACTCATCAACTGAAATCTTTACATGGCAAATGTTCTCTTTAACGTGACTTTGTGGCGATTTTCCTACTCTCCAGAAATTCAGGGAAAAAATCGTTTGCACTATAGAAGCACTGATGCAACTTGAAAATTGTTCCGGTCTAGACTTAACTGCTGGCGCTTGTTAAAACATCAAGATTAAACACAACTTGGTACACAATTTGACCGGACTGTCTGAGAGAGAGAGAAGCGCATCAAAGATTAAATCAGTTTATTCCAGAGGGGCTGCGCGCCGGCAAGACGTGCTGTTTTAATTCAAAGCGTCTCCGATCTGAGCCCGTGTTTGTCGCTCTTGCTCGGCCAGGACCGTCGTACAGGCCGGGAGTTATCACCGGAGATGTCGTCGACTGAAGACAGTTGAATTTGTCTCCCACAAAAAATAGACGGCGTGCCGTGACAACGAGCAGAGTGATTTTTTTTTTGTTGTTGCGAGACTCGCGCTTAAGCTCGGCTGGTGGGGGTCGTGGCTGGGGCATACCAGGGCCATGCACTGCAAAGCGCGTCTCGAAGCTAGCCTCTGTCGCCAGAGTCTCAACACCGGGGCATGTACATGTATCCAATATTGACTCTCGGGTTCGGGCTGGGAGAAAAAAAGTGGCGTGCTACGCCAGCAGAACTACTTGAATCCCCAGCGGCAGTACTCTGTTGCTTATCAGTAGGGGAGGGAGGCTTCGATCGGATCCACACTTGACTGATCACCTGACGGGGACCGGTTGCCAGGGCAGCAGCCGTTTTGGAAAGGCCCAGGCCAACTGCTGATTGGTCAGCTCCCTAGGGTTTGGCTGGTGGGGGGATCAGTAATGCTGTTGCCAGCTAGTGCTAACACGTTACCTTTGACTGTGACATGAGGCAAATGGAGTGCCAACAGACAGAATGCTATGAGGGCACCCGACAACAATTTGAGGTGACCAACAGAACATTTTGGGATAATCTGTAGCATTAGATCTATATTATATCTAAACGATATTATTGGCAATTATTGGAAATTTCAAGACTTCAAAACGAAGTGTTCCCGTCATTGAATAATTACATAAAGTCATATCCTTAATACTTTATCAAAACTTTATTGTCAAATATTTCACAAGCAGAGCAAATGCCATTGAAATACTAACTGCAAGGACACCCAGGATTTCCCCATATCTGATAACAGTAAATTGCAAACTAAAAAAAAGAAACCTTGTGGGTAGAACATAAGACATGTTCACCTCAAGTCAAGAGAGCAACTCACCTGTGATCTCTCAGATGGTCTTGCCGCCTAAATGCTTTCTGGCATATGTCACAAGAGAACGGCCTCTCATCTGTGTGGGTGCGCTCATGGATCAAAAGGTTGTAGGACTTGGTGAAGTGCCGGCCACAAAACTTACAGATGAACTCCTTCTTGGCCCGGGTGGGGCCCCGCCCCCTGCGTCGCTCCTCCGGGTGGCCATGGTGGTGTAGATGTGGGTGGGGTGGGTGGGGCAGGGCCACAACACCTGTCCCCTTGGCAAGGTTCTCATCGACGCTGCAGGGCTGGGTGGCGGCCAGCGCCAAGTGGGCAAAGTCAAACTTTGGGGCCCGTGGTTGCGGGGCGCGGACTGAGTCCTTACCGTAGTCAGCCCCAAGGTTGCTGAAGGCCCGGTGAGCCAGCTCGCCCGCAGGTAGGGAATGCTGCAATGTGCCCGGCAGTAGGTGCCAGGGGGAAGGGTAGCCGCCTTGGTGGTGGTGCTGCGGCGCCCAGACTGAGTTGAGCGTGTTGAGGGGGAGTAAGGGCATGGACTCACCGTTCTTTTGCAGACTGGCGTAGTGGATGTTGCCGTGGAGGGCGAATGCAGCATGGGCTGACACTGGGCCACCCGGAAGGAATGACTGGAGCTGGTGTTGACTGGTGGGGGTTAGAGGTGGGGTTGGCGGGCCGGTGTTGGCCCGAACCTTCTTCAACTCTGGGGAGAAAAAGTTTAAAACATAGGAAATAATCAAATGCTGAATTCATCCATCATCTCTGAAGAACTTAAATAAATTAAAGGTGGCATTGAATTCCCTAATAATCAAAAGCGCTCAGGTGAAATCCACATCTCAATGCGGCAAGCAATAGGAGAAGAAACTTGGCTCAAAATCAAGGATTTACATGTACATATAAGAAGAGTTCACTGGAAATTTTTGGTACATTTATGGGAAGTTTAAACGCATGCGTAGTGGCAATATGTTTACTGAAATTTGAAACAATCTCAATAATCAGTTTATTTGGCCCTTGTATAAACCACACAAGGCAACAAACCTTTAAATAAATGCAGTAACAAAATCACTACGGTGGTGTACCCTTTTTAATGACAAAATTTACCTCACACCAGAAACACCTAGAAATGTATCAAGATTGGTTTATTCTCCACAATCTTACCCTTCGCGCAACATTCACAACTCTGCACTACCTGACAGACAGCATTTCCAACACAACACGAACACATTGCTTCCAAATACTGACTGCTGACAACCTGGACTACACTCCAAATGATGCCCACCACAATGCCTAAACCTTGTGGCTCTCTCGCACACCACAGAATTAAGAAGCCCCTTCACTGACAAACATGAGGTGCAGAAACTGGTCAGACTGGTAGCCCCTTTGAACTGCTGGACACAAAGCTAAACCCTCAGTGGTCATTTGACCCCTCACCACAGTGACACAGAGCCACTAACACACATAAATTTGTCTAGCTCTCCTAATGTGTAATACTGACCCATTGTCTGGGCATTTTTATTACACAACATAAAAAACCTGTCTTTACTTTACAGTGCGTATACATATATGTAATAACAAATACACACATACTAAATGTTAAATACACCCTTCCAGTAATAAAAAGAAAAAGTGCTGCCAGGGTTAGAAATCCTGGAGGATTTTCAAACACAAGAAATGTACATTTGGCAAACAGACCCTGGCCGGCACCACAAACAACGCTGGGTGCTCAGGAGGTTTTTTTTGTACGCCGCCCGACTGACGCTGTGCGCGGTTAGCAGAGGGAGTAAACAGGCCGGTGGTGAGGGAAACGAGGGTTTACCGCCACGGTGACCGACAGCAACAGTGACGGGAGGCTGGAATCTTATTGATGCCGCCCGCCTGGCCAAGGTGCTCCGGCTAAGAGGGGCAGCAGATAATCCCTTCAAAGGCTTGCCGACCATTTGCATTAATGTTGGTGCAGAGGGAGAAGGAACGGGGTCTAGAAGGCTTGCCCACCATTCCATGAATCCAAATGGAAGCCTACATGTTGAAAAACTGCCTTCACTGTATACAATTTAACACAAGGTCAAAGAACTGTACATAGATTTAATGGGAAGTGCGACCAGATTGCAATTAAGAAATATGTCCCTGATTAAATGAATGTGACCATGGTTTACTTTTAGTTAGGTGATTTTTTTTTATCTTAAGGGTAAGAAAATCTTTTAAAGTATTTGATTTTTAATATATTGGACTCTTCATAAGGCACATTTCTATATTGATGAATAGAAAGAGATCACTTGCAACTGTAGCGATTGAGGTGGTGTAAAAGTCTGGACGACTAAACCTGATGGTTTCCCGAATTAACACAATGCCTCCATGAAATATGAATTCTAAAAGAACTGTTAGCGAGCTACATGTACATGTACTGTGTATTGTCCTGTTTTAGAACCAGCTATCTGACACTGCCTCAGTGCACTTGTTCTCGTGTATGCATACATGTACATGTGCACTGTACATGACCATCAAAGCCAACATGCTGAACCATCAGTTTTGTTCGTATCACCGATTTCAGTACTTATCCTCACCATTTTGCAGCTTTTGTAAAAAAGGAAAATATTTTCCAGCAGCGGTTCACTGGGGATGAGGGCTGGGAAGACCGACGTGGTGCACAAGACAATGGAGGAAGTCCACACCAATAAAGGAACTCAAGCACATGATATTTCATTTTTTCAAACTGTATCTACTTACTAACAGATGTACAGCAGGCACGTCTGCATGCATTCAGTGCATGGATGCATTATACTAAGCAATGAAAAGGCCCATATACTGTGCCATGCGCATGGCTGTGCATGCACAAGACACCACTGCTTACAGTAGTCATGAGCTGTAAGAAAAACTTTCACTTTTTTCCCCACACCATTTCCCTGCAAAGCATGATGAAAAAATATTTTCTGATCTGCTCAATGTCTTCTTGTATTGTCAGAGCCAAATTGGATGCAATAAAAAGTGGTAGAAATCCCACAGTTTTCAAATATTCGTTAACCTTAAAAAGCAACCCATTTTTGCCAGAAACCTTCCAGAACACATCACTATAATGAAAAAGTGCATTTTTATGCTTCCTCCAAATGGTGGTATCAGCTAACATACAATGCAATGATAGATGGGTGTCACAGAACTAAAATCACCCCAAATCAAGCGAAACCAGAGGTAAATTTTGAGGCACAGTAATAGAGTGCTAGATTCACTAGTGCATGGAAACTCACAAAGGCCTACTGCAGGACAACACGCAGAGGTGCACACGCACAAAGACTGCTGCAATGAAAGCCTGCAGCATTTAATCATGTAGCATTAGTAAACAATGAGGCTGATCTTCCACAAATGATTCCAGCAAGAATCCCCCATGACTAGTGATAAGTATCAGCAACAAAAAGACTATCAGTAGTTCTGTCAGTGCTGATCACTGATTTACAACTCAACAGAATCTTATATATCATTAAAATGGTAGAGTTAAAAATTCTACTCAAAATACATAGGTTTCCGAATAGAATCTTCAAAGTGAAAAACAAAATAAACAGTACACTTTCTGTTAAAAGTACATGTACACAATGCTAATTTGGTTGCAAGCTTCTGAGTGGACAGAAGTGCTTCTAATCTGCAAGAAACAGCTTTTCCGGGAGACCATAATTATCATTTCTTTTCATTATTATACATGTACCTGAAATCTGCAGCACATTACATGCTATACAATGAAAACTAAAAAGACAGCACTAGTTATTCCTGTCGCTGGCAATCCTTTTTCTGTTCCAGTACGTGTGCTGAGCAGGCCGATGCTGGCAAATTCTTTGAACTTCACTTTCATGGGGGGGGGGATCAAGCCCCATGCAAACCATGCCTCAATCCAACAAAATCCTCCCCAAGTCTCCCAGTGAATTTGGAAGTCAAACTGCCAGGATTCAATTTTGAGTTTTCAGTCCATGACCAAAATTACCCAACTGTTTGTGCTCTCTGCATCATGTTTTTTAATTCAATAACAGATTTCATCTTAATTTTGCTATTTTCCTCACTGTTACTTTTCAACAAATATACCATGCATGTACCTAAGGGATCTTTACAATCTTGTGGTCACATTTCAACAAAGATATCCATACTGAAAGGACCCCTTAACAAAAATTAATGGCTGAACAATTAGTATGCCGTAAAAGTAAGACAAAGCACCATCTACAGTTGAAATGTGAACCCCCAAGCCAATCAGGCATTTAAACCAATGTTTCTGAAACTACTCTATAAATACCTCCATTTGTTTAATTTATTACTTTGTGGTAAATAGATTTGAAAAAAAGGATCACTTTTCACGAACATTCCTCCAAAGTCAAGTTCACCATTTTTTTTTAAATTCAGTATTAGGCCCTAAACTTTGCAGCCAGACTCCAACTGATGGATGAGTGTTCCTCTGCCTTTCAGCCTATCCTGTGTGACAAGTAAATAAACAGGCACTTTATAATTCATGTATTAATTAACTAACTCACCGCACAAACAATGAGCAGTCCCACTCTTGCTAATTACCACAGAAAAAAAAAAAAGACGACTGCAGGTTGATGCTACTCTTTCTTTAAATACCTCCATTTGTTTAATTTTACAAAGTCTATTGGTTCATGTAATATTTATCCAGATTCCTCATTCTTTTTTTTTTCATTCTCCCTCAACGTCGTCAGTTTCCATTAATGCTATGGTAACGTGATAGTTCCACGCTCGACTGCCTGCAGCGCGGCGGCTTCTTCGACTACTCTCTCATTACATTTGTGCCTTTGCAGCCGGTCGGCAAATAGCAAGTCATATGACGACATCTGGTGTCTATCCATGGACAAGGCTTGACTATTCACACTCTTCTACCCTTCCTCCTTTTTTGTAAAGTCTGTTCCATTTTCATGATGATTGATACACATAAAAAGGTTCTAATGCATGTATACACAACAACTTCACATTTCTTTTTCATTTTGCCATTTATTTGCTCCATAAAAGACTCAAACCTTCAGAATTATTTCACAGCATAGGTGATATTTATTATACAGAAACTATCCTCACTTTATGCAGCAAAAGGAAAACTTTGGATATTAAAGTTATTTCATGTTTAATATTCTCTGTCTAAAATATGTGCATATACACAGCATGTAAACTGATAGGTAAGTAATAAGTTTTTCCCATGTAAATTATTTATTTTTAACAGGCATACTTTTTACTGTTTTGGATATGAGTCCAGGTAGCATTTGATGCTGCTGACAATGCAAGATGCAAAATGTACATGTAGGAGTGTAGCTCTGTCTTGTGGACTATTTAAGTGTGACACAAAACTCTCTGCTTGGTTACAAAGACCGATACATTACTCTGAAAATGGTACAAATGAAAACACGCTTGTAGTAATAAGTTTAACATTATGTTTTCAAATCACATTTGTGGTGAATTTCAACTACTGAATTTTGAAAAATTTCAAGTTCATATTTGAGCAAAATCTTGTTTTCAAATCGTACAGGATCTGTGCATCTCCATGCATGATGCTGTTGCTATGTGTTTGATCTTTGCCTTCCAAATTGAAATTCAATAGAAATCTTGGCAGGAAAAAACCAGGTGTGGCTGCCAAGCCATCAGCTTTGATTTGTGAGTCAGAACACTGCGCGTTTGTCTCTGTCACTGATGACAAGTAACCTCTGGAACACTTATGGGGGAAGGGGA